CATAAGGAACTATAAATAGTCCAATCCATTATTATAAAATAAAAATAGCTACAATACATATGTTTCTTTAGATTATCAATTGCATAGGTCAAATGAATTTAACCGAAACTCACATAAATCAATGCATTTATCATGTTTATGTCTTGCAAACCCTAATATATTGTAAAAATGCATACATAACTTAGGTAAAAATTAAAATAATTTCTTTGCACATTTACCGCGTGAAAATACTTGTACTCTTTTACAAGTTATACAAGTACCATTAAGTATATAATATTTACTTTATAAGTATCTATGAAAGATAAAACTACTTGATTTATTAGTGAATATTTAAAAATCTTAATCTTGAAATTGAGAATATTACATTCAGTTGATATTAGCTTTGCTCATCGATAATTTCATGTACTACTTATTACATAGCAATATTTGTTTAAATCTCAAGTACCACTATTATCACTTATATTTTTAATAACTATATTAATTGACAATATATATCATATTAAATATATTACATGAAAACAATATCTAAAAAAATGCATTATAAAAAATTCATTTTGATGAATATACAATTTACATAGTAATATTTTTAAATGAATATTTTTAATTTTAAGATAATTAAGCGTTAATATAAGAGTCTTATCTGGTATATAATAAATAGTAAAATATTTTTATTATTTTTTAGACTTAAGTAAAATAACTTAATTACAAATAAATCCATTTTAATAATTCTTAAATAAATTGTATATCATGTACAATGACTGAATTTCAATAATTATTGTTATTTCAAAACTTATTATGAAACTTAAACTTTACAAAACAAATTAGAATCTTATCATAATATTAAGAAGTTTCTTTATATTTATTTTTATATTTAAAATTATTACTTTTACAATCTTACATTTAAACCAATTGTTATTATATTATTGTATTATTGAAATTCTTCGCATGATATCGTTAAATATTAAGCATAAAATAAATGTTATGCATGATGAGAAAATTTATAATACAATGTTAGTTTAAACTACGTTTCACGATTTACGTAAATCAAAATAAATCTAACAAAACGAATTTATGCTGATCAGCTGCTATAAGATTACAATCTCGTTTATAAAAATTATATTCTTATAATTGAAATGTTATTTACTAGTCATTTTCTTCAATAAATGGTAAATTTTGCTTCAATTTGAGATATACATTATTATTCAATTCTTTCAATTAATTAAAAGATATTAAATAAAATAAGCATACATTCTTATCAATTATAGATAATTCTTTTAATTTTTTTATTACATAATATATAATTTGTCAAATTTTGTACTTTCTATTTATTGTTTTAATAAAGAATTAAGGAAAATATATTCAATAGATCATAAACGAAATCTTGATTACCATAATGGAATACAAATAATAATAATAATAACAATAGAATAATAACAATTAATTATTTTAATTAATAAAAATTAATTACTTAAACTGAATAAATGAAAGCGATGAGAAGAATAAAAAAATTAACTACTGTCATAGATATAAAATCTATTTGTAGATAAAAAATTACGAAATATTAAAAATTTTGAATAGAAAATTGATATTTTAATATAATTTTTATTGAATATTTAAACTGTTTTACTAATATTTTCCAATTTTTCTTGTAATATGAAGCTGTAATAATATTAGAAATTTCCGATAAAATATATAAATAAAACATAGAAATTAAAGCCAATAATCATAAACCGATATGAACTTTTGAATTATCTTAAGTGTTAACAAAACTTATTATCAACGATTTATAATGCAACGCAATCTTAGAACATAATCGTAATTCAGATTACTTAATAAATTAAAAAATACTATAAATTAAAGTTATATTCCTATGAAAAAATGTTAACTCCAATGAACTAACTTAACAAATCAATTAAAATTCTTATAATTATTCATTTGAAAATTTTTGCATTGATCATAGAAGGTAATTCTTTAAAAAATTTTTCATTGTTTAAGAATATGGGAAATATAGTTAAAATATAGAATATTTTAATAAATTCCAAATAGATATTAACTATTTGCAATTTAACAAAAAAAAAAAAAAAAAAAAAAAAAAAAAAAAAATGTTATCAAATAAACTTTGAAAAAACTTATTTTTTTTAATAATCTAGCGTCTTTTAGCTACTAACGTGATAAAAAAAAGACTTTATGTCTGTAATTTACAGATATCTTAAAGATAATTAAAAGAACAAATATTGACCATAAAATTAGGCTTAAAATTAGAAAAATAATAAAATAAAAAATAAAAAAAAATTTAATATTAGATTGTAGGAATTTAATTGGGCCAACCTATTTTAATTTTTCTGTTATTATAAAAGTGAAATTTCGTAGAATTACATTCTGAAAAAAAGGATTTTTCAAATTATACAGAGTATCTATGTATATTTCATTAATTTGTTATATTCAGTTAGTAAGTTAGTAAGTTAATCTGTTTGAAACATACAATATTAATAGAATCACT